TCCGCTTTGTGAAAGAGACTGCCGATATTACGAAAGATAAGATTAGATACGTCAAGGACTCCATTAACTCGTTAACAGCAACACAGCTTAACATAGATGGATTTACGTTTTCCGTCAAGCATGTGTTTATCATGACAATGGTTGATGACAAAATATGTACTCGTAACGCATCAACTGGCACAACATCAACTAGTCGCTGCGACGTCTGCGGTGCGACATCCAAAGAGTTTAATCAAGTGGAAATGAAGAAGGGCATAATAGAAACTGCCGAATTTGGGTTATCAATTTTACACGCCAGGAAAAGGTTTTTCGAAAGCATCCTCCATTTAGCTTACAAACTACCTGTTAAAAATGCAGAGAAAGGAAGACAGTAGGGGAAAAACAGGGAAGCAGAACGGAAAAAAGAAATACAGTCCAGATTTCGTAAAGAGACCGGACTATTAGTGGATATACCGAAATCAAATTTTGGAAATACAAATGACGGCAATACAAGTAGAAGATTTTTGGAGATCCAGAATTAGCGGCAGAAATCACAGGCGTTAATTTCGAGTTAATGTACAGTCATATTAGAAACCATTTCAAGTGGATACTTGATAGATGTAGAGAAATTTGATCAATATGCTTTAGGAAACACTCGGTTATACGTGGAGCTGTACCCTTGGCATCCAATGACTCCAACACAACATAAAATACTCATTCATGGAGCCCTTATATTAAAACATGCATTAATACCTATTGGACAGCTTTCTGAGGAGGCAGTAGAGGCGCGCACTTCAGGGCTTATCGACAGAGCTAGTCTAGAAAATTCTCAAGGGAGCCATGTAATCAAGATATTTTTAATCGACTCCTGTTAAGTTCGGATCCCTTTCTTAGTTCTATGACGACTTATAAAAAAAGGAAAAACAACTCATTTCTTCCTGAAACCATAAACATGCTCTTAGCAGCGCTGCCAAACCCTGTGGAATATGGTGCCCAAGAATATTAATTTCTTCTGTTTTCTTTTTTTTAATTACAAAGCGTACTTCTAATAAAAATAACATAGATATTTAATAAAAACGTTACTATTGTATGATATACCTCATTTGGAAGGGCCCAGGCCAAAAAAATAATTTTGGTCGCGTACATCGATCAAATACGAAGTGAGCAGGTCGAAAATAAATCAAGTTAAACTAACAGCACTCCCCGTAAATCTGCAGCTAGCTCTAGGGAACACAAATTTTGACGACTGCAATGGCGAAGTTCAACTACTAGAAAATGTAGTAATGATAGAATGTGCCAACACCTTCGTTGTGGGCATGAAAAATGCTAAAGTGAGGGAAGCAAAGTATTAATGGAACACATAAATATCACAGAATAAAAAAGAATGGCTTACTACCAGACTGAAAATGATGAGAGGATACAGAAAGTATCATAGTATCACAGAACATGAAGGAATATAAAAGACAGTATCAAGATGCCCAGGAAGGAACTAGAAAAGTGGGTGGTGAACTCGAAGCAAAGGTTATGGTAAGAGTTATAGGATAAGCTTGAGGATGATGTGTGCTGACAAGCGTACAAGATAGCAATGAGACAGGTAAAGCTCACAGATAGACCTTATCTGGATACCGAACAACAAACAAAAAGGCTTTGAACGTGCCATAGTTCACCATAACTTAGCTGGAAGAAGGTACAATGCACCTGAAAACGAGGACCAGACTACATACAAATGAAATCGTAAAGGTGGTGGTTAAATAAATATCCGAAATCGTACTGTCTGCCATAAATGAATGCTTGAAAACGAGTGTTTCCAAAGCGATGGAAGGACGCCGGTTTGGTGCTCATCCACAAACATCTAAAGCCTACCGATAGGGGAAGTCAAACACAGCCCATTGAGTATAGAAGTTAGGCTACGAAAAGAGGTCGAGCAGAAGAATGAACTGTCTCCCCAACAATATGGATTTGATACACTTAGTGCAGTGGCACAGTTAACAGAGCCGTGTTTGTCTTTGACGCGGCACAATGAAAATCGTTGAGTCTCGCGAGAAACTATTCACTGCTATCTGCTTATTGAACACGATAAATAGGTACTTTGAAGAGAGGACACTAATGGTAGGTAATGGTTGCAGGCGCTTCCAAAATTTCGCCTGATGGGGTACGCTGAGGACCAGCCGATGATAGTCACTAGCAAAGATAAAAGCCTTTTGGCATATGGAATCATGAGAATTACCACATAGATGGAAGTAAATGGCTTAAAATTAGCTAAAACTCCAATAGCTTTAAGGTTGAAAACGCCGAGATTTAAAGCCAAAATGTAATTCGTGCCTCGGTGTGTGGCTCGACAAAGATCTAGAAATGGCTGAACACATAAGGCGTACTACTGATAAGTCAAATGAAGACGTTGCAACCCTGATATGACTAATTCCATTTGATCGAGCCTCAGTAGCGAGAGGCGCAGGATTTTGGAATGGGTAGCTAACTCGATTACGCCCCAATCTATAACAACGCCTTGAGAAAAAAATGTCAGCTACTACTCAGAAGTCAGTGAGAAGTAGTGCTGCGCGCTTACAGGATCGTCTCGACCAATGCACTGCTGGTGGTGGCTGGCATCCCACCCATTGATTTGCTGGCTGAGTAGAAGTGCACGCTCTATAAGAGGAGCATCGAAGTTCAAAGCGATGGAAGGAATACACTTTTTGTCAGATAATAATAATAATGTCTATTGTCCAAACTACAAGCAAATAAATAGAAAGTACATCTTTAAGAACATTAAACATGGGAGAACACCCACAGAAGACTTGCCTTGTACGCAGGTAAGCATGAGCTTATAAATAATATACCTACTACTTAAACTAGAAATAAAATGACACACGTGATTTACAGAAAAGTAACAGCATTATATAGAATTTTAAAACACACATTGTCTGGCAGTGAGAGTATGGATGGCTTCATTTAATCATAGATCCTTTTTTAGGTAAAATGTCTCATTTAGGGCATCAAGTCTATCTTAGGAAATTTATTAGTATTTTATTTTCTATGGATGGATATATCGAGTATATTGTCTAAATCGGTATGTGTTGAATATACTGCTCACCGGTGAAACACTCCATGGCGAGTAAATTTCCGAGCACCAAGCTACTTATCCCCACTACCAGTGTTCCGCTCCCGCGTACGTCTTTCTGGTCCACCATGTATATGAGTTGCGGTTGCAGCTCCCCACGCTATTATATCATAATTTATATGAGATTCTTGCCAATGCAAGATATATTTTTAATTGACAATACTCTATGATACTAGTATGTTTCTGATAGTTCTTATTCTATGTAGAATATATTGCAACATACGTTATATGCATTTAATGCCGCTTCTGGAAAATCTCACGCGTCGGGCATAGCCGACAGGGCAATACTGTAGACTGTAGAGCTTCTCTACCTAAGAGTGACTATAAAAGGTTTCCCCTGGCAAAAAATTGCCTACAATTTGTGTAACAAATCTTTTTACCGTCCGACTACACATTAGATACTCACCAACAATTTCCACATTTCTAAAAATTGTTGTCAAGTATCATCTTAATTTTCTTGGATAGTGCTCGACTGGAGTCTCACACACCTCCAAAAGCCTGAGGCTGATGCATATTTCTCATCCTGTCCGGAAAAACTCGATGATGGCCTCATTTGGAAATCGGAAGCGATTAGGGTCACTGTGTGAAAATCCGAAATCCAGGTCGTCGGGATAATATAGCTCGATATTTCGCCAATGGGGATACTTGTCACGAAAAAGTAGGAGCTTATACGCTCATATACAGGTTCGGCAGATAATCATTGATGTTCCGTATTTGATATGTGTGAGAGATACAGAGAAACACGAGTGCTAGAGCGAGAGTGTGTGAATGAAGCCTGTGGTCCGCATCGCGCTGTGAAGTTGTTGACATTGTCATTTACCACTTGGCAACATTGCCGCTGAATGTTTCTGGAATAATCACATAGATTTGAGGACCAATGATTAAAAAATGTGAACAATAACATAATAAGGCAATAAACAGTCATGCAATGGAAAAAACGCTAGGGAAGAAATAATTCATGTTATTTACCATTAAAAACATAATTAAGCGGGCAATGCGAACGAAACGATAAAGATAACGATGTCGTCTGTGATAACGTTTTGACTTTTATAAGATTGACAATAAAGAACAAAAATGGATCAAGGCCGGTTCCAACCCCTTGGGTAGAAAAAATTGCGCCGATCTGTGATTGATATCAGCTTATATGTTGGGTCAAAATTATAACCTCCTCTGTTAGGGGATCTCGGTGTGATCAAGAGTTGCCGAGTTAAAGTAATAATGACAGGTAGGCAATGTAGCACTTAGTTAGTAGTAGTTTAAAAAATTGTATAATGAACGTCTATTTTATGTCTGAAAATAACCCTTCTTGCTGGAAGCAACATACAACATCCAACCTCTTTTGTATTGGCGTAAATCCTATAATTGTTACTGGTGTTGGCTACGTAATAAACACCTTTGTGTGAAACGGAGTAAAAAAAGGGGTTACAGTAGGGACACAGATGTCAAATACGTCGTTCTGCCCATTTGATTCGTTAGAGCAAACATAATACCAGAATCATAAGACAACGAACAGAGTTTTGCGTAGCACGTTGAATTGTAGCGGCAAATTCACGTAAAGGACTCTGAAACCATTGTTTTGGGTCATCTTCAAGTGCAGTAATTCGATTGTGATGCGGTTTAGAACCTAGTCTAGAGCAAGGTTGAGACTTTATTTTCCTCAAAACCGCAATCGTTAATGCTAAAATAAGTAATCAAAGAAAGTGACTCGCTAATTAATTTGATTGACATTGTCATACAACTATCTTTGTAGTGTGTCCTGATGAAGAAAATAAACATTTTCTAAACCTCAACATGAATTAAAAACAAACTTTATTGCTTCACACCTCAGAATCATTGTACTTTTTTGCGGTTCAAAGAGAACAAAACTTCATCAAAGGTTGAAAGTTTAGTAATTTAATACAAAATGCAAAGAGGAGACCAACTGGTTGACGCCATTTTGGTGTCGGTAGGTGTGTGCAGCTAATGAAACCCAAAAGGTCGTTTATTCTCCCGTTCGTTCATTATATTTTATTTTCGGAAGCTCCCCAGCTAATGGACACACAAAGCTGGTGGGCATCTCTGTGTTGGAAAGAGAGAGCAAAAGAGTCACCTCATTCGCAGAAACTTAGAACCTTTTAAAACCTAATTAGTCGCAGCATAATGAAGTGATGTATAATTACATTTCATAACAGGCAGCAGGCCTTTTCTCTAATATACCGCAGGGACAGCTGCACCCAGCACCAGCTAACTAAATGGGAGATTCATAGGCGGGGAATTTAACAATTGTGATGTAAAAGGCAGCTTTTGTAAGTAATATAGAATCAGGTCTATCAAAATAAAATCAATGTCATCAATATATTACTAGTTTGTTCAATGGCGAGTAGACAACATCTACTATGCTACCAGAATCGTTAGCCCCTAGCGGTCACAGCGGAAACTGAGCTATCAAACGCGAACTGAGATCTTTACAGTTCCAACCGACAGCTAGCATATACTATCGCAATGATAGATTCTTTTGATAGATGGCACTTCCTGCTGTCTTATTTCAATAAATCTCAAACCTCGGATAGAGGATAAATAGTGCCCACGCCTAGACCACGCTGATGAGTTGCCAGAAAGCACGAAACATCTGTCCATGGTTGGCTGTCTAGGGTCGGACGGACGAAAGCAGCATGTCTAATATAGGCTGCTGAAAATTCCTCATTTTCTGAAACAAAATGTGGGACAGTGAATAGCGTTTATATGGTGGTCCTTCAGCGCTTGCGTACCTGCTATAGTATTGTCTTTATGTACAATGATACAATGCTACTTGGCTACATAATAATATGGAAGCGAAATTCATACTTAGTCTGGTTTTCCATTTAACTCCCATCAAGTTGGATATTCGGCCAATTAACTAGCACCAGATAAGACAAGTGAAAATAAGAACAAATTTACTTGAATTCTGACGGCTGATTTTTATTATACATTTTGTAAAACACTATTGCAAAGTATACAGGGTGATTCACAAGTCGTGACCAAAAATGAAACATCATACGCAGGACCTCAGGGGGTCTTCTATGTAATATTTTTTCCTCCAGGGCTTCATTAAAAAGATACAGGGTTTGAAAATTAAAACATTTTTTTTAATATCTTCAACATTCAAAAGTATTTACTTAAAATTAACGTGCGCCAGTGGCGGAGATACAGGGGATTAGTGGCATTATTTTTTCAAGTAAAAATAGTACGCCACTGTTTATTTTTTTTCGAAACGAGAAATTTTTCGAATCTTACCTTCAATTTGCTACAAATTATAAATAAAAAAACACAAGAGTAATTATTTGTAGCAAATTGAAGGTAAAATTCGAAAAATTGGTCGTTTATCGAAAGAGACAAGGGCGTACTACTTTTATTTGGAAAAATAATGCTACTGATCCCCTGTATCTCCGCCACTGGTGCACGCTAATTTTAAGTAAAGACTTTTTAATGTGGACAATAGATTAATCCACTTACCAAATTTTAGTTCATTAAAGTTGCCGGTTTTGAAGATATTAAAAAAATTGTTTTTTATTTTTAAACTTCAACACCCCGTATCTTTTTAATGAAGCCCTCGAGGAAAAAATGTTACATAGAATACCCCCCTTAGAATGCGGTCCTCTGTATGATGATGTTTCATTTTTGGCCACAACTTGTGAATCACCCTGAGCTCTCTCTAACTTGTTTGTATGACAGTTTAGCAGGAGAAGTTTCATAGAATAATTATAGGGTGCGATATTTTTCATGCTAGATTTTTTTTTGTATTTGCCTCGGCGAACTCCTATCGGATTAAAGTTGTATATTTTAAATGGGACACTATTCGATAAAAAAATATATTAGGCTCTACGACTTTTGTATAAAACATTTTTTCCAATCGCTAGACAGACACTTTATTTAAATCGGCTGGTAAAAGTTATGACCCACTAGAAGTGTTTCCAAATACATTCCCGTGTCAGTGCCACGGAGAAAAGCGAGAACCAGCGAAACAATTAGTAAATAAAGATTAGGCCTGTTATAGCAAAAGTATTCCTATCTTCACCCGCACTAACACAACAGCCTCAATGCTGCAGACCTGGTCGTAAAGATAACGAAACGGCACGTAATTTCATTTTTGCTGAAATCGGAATATTCTGTCGTACTAAAGGACCAAAGACCAAGCGGAATATCTTTTACCTTCTCTCTCCTCACGCACATTGTAAATTCTGCTTGTAAATCAGCAAAAGTGACGATAAACTGGAGCGTCTAAAATTTTTGTTTGCAATTTGTTGCGTCCGGTACCAACAAATTACTGAATGTGAAGTATGATATCAAATAAGGAACACATGGCTACGGAATTTCGGTTTCAAAAATCACACATAGTTTACAAGAAACCTGGTAAAAAAATCGGAAGGTACATTGTCTAAAAAATTATGAAAAAATGTTTGGAAAAATCTTTATTGTAGTGGTACACACTTCATTTAATGAAATTGGTTTGCACTTAAAGGTATAATGACTGATCCAATTCCCCATCCAGTATGCCTCAGTTGACAGCTGAAGCCCATGGTGGTGTCATTGGCTGAGGATTTTGCAGATACGACATCACTATAGCCGATATGGAGAGCATGAATGAGCTCAAAATCTGCAAGTCATAACAAAAAAAACAGATAAACATTGTTTGTGATCTTAGGCGCTCGCTATTTATGTAGAAACTCTAAACGGAGCTGCGTAGCAAATTTTAACCTTTGGACTAGGCTTTCTCAAAGTGTGTGATATCGCCCCCTTATGAGAGATTAACGCGGCGGCCCTGATTTTGAGCCGCAGCATCGTCCTATTTGTCTATAGCTACGACCACAACAGCACTCATGCGCTTTCACTTCCCATTTCGTCTTCAACTTCAGTTGCGCCTTTATTCATACCTTATGGCATTAAATTCTTCGATATGTATCTGTTAAATTGACAGATACACAAATGTTTTCAAAATAAGTGCTTACCTGTTTTGTATCGTCAGATATTCTTGAGTTGGCAAAACTGATGCAGGAGCAGTACAGTGCCACCCAAGCGCACCACTTCAGTCGCATCATCAACCCGCACATGCTGAATATCATACCTGTTGAACAAAAAAAATTAAAGTTAGTACATGCGAAGAATAATTATTTATACAGGGTGTCCGAATTCACACAATATTAAGCTGTGCTAGGTAAAACTGAAAGCAAGACTTTCCCAAAAGTAAATACGTTTCTTTAGCATCACTAATGTTATAAAGGAGACTTGTTTCTCCGTCTCACGAAGCCTAGCTTATCTTTTGCAAACATTGTAATCATAGGACAACCTGTATATAACAAACAAACAGCATTATTGCTAATGATAAAACATCTGAAACTTCACCTGTGACTCTCAGCACATGTAGATGTTTATGCTGAAAAAAAGCATGGGAGCAATGAATTGATTTCTTTCAAAATAGTTAAAATATAAAATAGCCATGCAAGAAGATAATGACTAAACAAACAAAAAGCATCAAATGCAACAAAGGTTAAAAATGGCAATATAACTCTTGTCGTCCTGGTTTCTATAATTCCTTATTGCTGCTCCACAGTCGAAACGAAATTGATGACAGGATATAGAAATAATACTGAAACCAGAAAGCCTTAATCTAAAAATAAATCAATAATCGAAACCAGCGTAAATAGGAGGCGAATACGATAAAAAAAACATGTGTATAATTAATTTATTTTACGTAGATATTTATAAGTATATATTAAAATAGATATAAGCAGTGTGAACTCTCAAAATAAAACTATTCAAGAAAAATAATACATTCACATAAATCATTTATACATAATTATTATATCTATAAATCATGTTTCGAAAAATACTGGACAAAACATTGTTCAAAAACAAATAACCAATACAATACCAAAATATGAAACACCTCAAAAATGTAATAAATATTCCTCAAACACAGAGTTCAGGGATATTATGATACAACATACATATGTTAATCGAAAAAGACAGACTAGATTCCTAAGTGCTCTTTACTGAAGATTGAAAGCATGCCCTTGAGACCTCCAAATAAAAACTTGAATTTTTTTATTAATGTTGAGAAAAAATCAACTATACATTATATCTAATATCCCTGATCCATCAGAAAGCGCATTACAAATACGACACCATTCCAACAACTACTTTCACTGTGATAAAATGACAATGTTTCAATGCAAAAGTGTCTACTGATATACCATGAAAAATTACATAGATTTATAAACACTACTTTAATGTAGTCCAGTTATTTAAACAACACATATTGGTATTTCCGCTGAAATGGGAAAGGAATATATTATATATAACACAGCCATAATAGTCTACATCTTCTTTTCCATAAATATATATTGACTAAAAATTTTCTAACACGTTATTACAAAGATGTCACAATAGCTACATTGGGTTTTTTCAAATTAATGCTCCTTTTAAACTACGAAAAGCAACAGAATAACTAATCATGATCGATTTAACATAGCAGTGATCGCAAACATGAAAGTCCCATGACAAGATGTCAAAATTTGCATGTAGAATACGTAACATGGGTCCCAGTCGATTTGTCTAAGAATTCAATGTTCTCACGATATTTTTTTATAATTAACTGTCTTCTAAATATTAAAAATCGATTTTTAATAATTCGATCATATTAATCACGCTTTTTGATGAAAGAGCAATACAATAGATTTTTACAAACAGCGCCATCTGTGTGACGGTTGAAGAAACGCGACGTATGTTCACTAAACGTAAGCCAGACGAAACATGGCGCCATCTGTATGTACTTATATAAAACAACCTGATATCTTTTCAACGGTTTTCTTTCTTTGTTATAAATAGAGAAGGTCCTGCATTTAATATGGGCACCTTGCCGTTTGAACATAGTATACCAGTGGCATCTATGAACACTTGCATATACTACTCCTTCCGAACGGCTTATTAATTCTTCAATCGTATTGAGTTCGTTTTCCGTCTCTGTCAGAACAGCACGCGTATTCTGTATCCTCTAAGAAAGAAATTTCTTTCTATAAACTCTTTATCGCACTTTACCCTATTCTGTAAGATGATTCGGCAGCGATCGGGTTGCACGAAGGCATTGTTCGGTATAAAGGAATAGAAAGACAAAATTACCTCTTTCTATTATTCTTGTCTCTTTTTAACACACGCGTACTTATTGCATCTTTGCCGGCAGTCCGCATGTTGTCTACATTACGTAAAAGTGGGGTTATGCATATGTTAATAACGACGGTTAATAATAATCATCTACATGGATAAGTCTCAGTTTAATACCAAACTACTTAATTTTTAAATAACATTTTCCAGATAAACGGGATTTTAAGACTCATCCTCACCAGTGGAGCACTATTGTGGACTTTGGAGAAGAGCACCCCACAATTTTTAGACCACAATTCAAACATGGTGACGGTGATGCTAGACAAAATGCGATATGTTGGGAGAATCTAGTACAATCATTGAATTCGATGGGATTTGGGTTTAGGAGTGTGGAGAAATGGAAAATGGTTTGGTTTTTATATCATGACCGTATATATTTATCTATATCGTGCTTGTTGCACAAATTATAGACAGTAGTTTACCACTTAGGTTTACTTTATACAACTGGAAAAAAACTTTTGATTATTCTAAAGTTCTTTGAGAATTTGTATTTTAAACGTTCAAACCACAAACCACCTCCAGCAGCTTACCAAAATGATTAAAATTATATGTCAGTTTGTCATTTAAAAAGATACAAATATATGTACTTTGGAATACTTTAATGAATGTGGGTGTTTATTAATGTTTAATGTTGGACAGTGCTATATCAATAATTTATCATTTTTATATATTGCTTTAGGCTGTTGGTAGATGGAAATCTAAGGTTAAGGCAAAAGCAGCACAGCTGAGGATCGAGAGCCAAAAACTGGTGGTGGATGTTTAAATGCTGCTCCGTTAACAGACACAGAGGCGCGACTAATGAAATTAATTGGTTGGAAATCAGTAACAGGGAATAGCAATGCAGAACTGGGATTGGTAACTATGCCATTTGATACATTTAAATGAAATTGTAAGTAGGATTGTAATATGCAGGGTGAGCTTTCAGTGTGGCCTCGGTTGATACCTCTGTTATTAACCCTTAATCCGCCATGTGGCGTCTGACAGACTACTCAATAAATTTAATTGACTGTATTTCTTAAAACGGACCGCCCCCAAAACTTGTCACCCCACCTAATCCGTCTACTATTGGTCCATTATATATCGCCTGACTGGCATTGTTTTATGCCCGTGTGCAAATAAACTATTTCGGTCCGTTAATTCAGCGTAGTCTCCTAGACGCCACATGTTCGTTTGTGTTAGAAACATCGTGTGATCTGATATGGCCGGTCCGTCGAAAAGAATTCGTTTTGAGGATGATAAGTTTGAAGAAACTGTTCTACAGTGGTATAATGAAGTTGATAGTGATGCGAGTGATGTTGACAGTGCGCCAGAAGATGAAGTTATTGAATCTGAACAAGACACGGCTTCTGACTTTTCTGAAGAAGACTGTAATGAAAGTGATAGTGATGAAGACAAAAATACTGCTGATTCTGAAGTTATGGAAGGAGAAAATAAATATTTTTACGGAAAAAACCGTTTCAGGTGGTGCACTAGTGAGGTAATTCCTTCGTCGCGCGTAAGAAAACACAACATAGTCATGAAGGTTCCAACTGTAAAAGGAAGAGCTCGCGACCTAGGTAACAGCGCAAATCCTATCCCGGTATGGAACCTATTTTTCTCCGACGATATTTTAGAACAGATAATTATATGGACAAATCACAAACTCTTCCAAATACGTTCAAACTACAAGGATAAAAACAGTATCAGCCATGTAAGAGATTTAGATAAAATCGAATTGAAAGCTTTCCTAGGTTTGTTGATTTACACATCGGTATTCAAATCGAACCATGAAAATATAAAAACAATTTTTGCTACCGATGGATCGGGCAGAGAGATATTCCGGGCAGGAATGAGTCAAAATACATTTGCAATTCTATTAGCTGCTCTGAGATTTGATAACCCTGAGACAAGAATTTATCGTAAGGAAGAAGACCCAACAGCAGCAATTTCTGTAGTTTTTACGAAGTTCATTGAAAACTGTCAAGACTGTTATGGTATGGGAGAATCAATGACAATTGATGAGATGCTCGTTAGTTTTAGGGGGAGAACTCATTTCAAAATGTACATGCCTGCCAAACCCTGTAAATATGGCATAAAGCTTATGTGTCTCACTGATGCTAGGACGAGTTATCTTTGCAATGCTTAGATTTACTGTGGGAAAGGATCCGATGGATTTGGACTAAGTGCAGAAGAACAGAAGTTTTCTAAACCGACCCAGGCTGTTATACGCCTCGCTAAACCTTTTTTTGGGAGCAATCGGAATATAACAGCTGATAATTGGTTTACCTCCATGGAGCTTGTAGATGTTTTGCTCAAAAATAAACTTACCTACGTCGGAACAGTTAGGAAAAATAAAAGAGAAATTCCCACGGAGTTCTTGCCGAACAAAAAGAGAAAATTAGGATCATCATTATACGGATTTCGAGAAGAGGTCACCATGGTTTCCCATGTGAGTAAGCCTGGAAAATCGGTAGTCTTAGTTTCTTCTATGCATGATAAGGAATTTACTGATCCGGAAACACAAAAGCCAGAAATCATTGCCTATTATAATCGGAACAAGGGAGGTGTAGATACAATTGACGAGAAGTGTTCTAAAAGTTCTTCAAGTCGACGCACCCGTAGATGGCCGCTTGCGATATTCTTCCGTATACTTGACATTTCTGTAATAAATTCGTATATTTTACATCAATGTTTCAAGGACAACGTAGCAGTTCGGGAAAAATCAGTGTTTGCAAAAGAACTAGCAGCTGACTTAGTTCGGGAAAACATGGAGAGGCGCCAGAAAAATCATCGAGTACCTTGCGATATACGCAGCACTATTAGTAGAATTTTGGGAATACCGGAAGTAGATCAACTACAAGCAGAAGAGGATCTAGTGCTTCAAAAACGCAAGGGATGTTACTTATGTCCACGAGCAAAACACCGTATGACAAAATATTCATGAGTGCAGTGTAAACGTGCAATTTGCTTACAATGTTTGAAACCATTATGTGATATGTGTATAAACAAACGAAATATTTAGCTCTTGCTACAAGGCAACTTGGTTAGGTTTTAATTGATTTTTAAGTTGGATTATATAATATACTACTTTTTCAACAAAGTTGTCCAAAATATTACAATATTTTCACTTTTTTTGTATAAGCCGAATTTAAATTTTCTTTAGAGTAAATATTGTGTTTAAGTTTATTACTATTACTATAATTGCATTAATAATACCGAAAATGTATAAAGTATCGTTATTTTTAGTAGAAGTAACCTCATTTGTCACTACAAAATTCCAAAAATAAAGTTAAAAAAAAACGAGCGTCATTTTGTTTATTTTTGATAAGTAGTCTGTCAGACGACACATGGCTGTTTATGCCAAAAATTCTCACAAGGTGGGTTAAGGGTTAAACATGATATCAATCAATCAATTTTCAAATGAGGCACCCTGTATATTTTAACATCCTCTGATTGCCCTTTAACAGGGTTGACTCTTTTTAATTCAGATATGAATGGAAAAAAATGAAAAATATTACATTACATTCCCAAATAAAACATAGCATAATGGCAGAGCTAGCGACTGAGCCCTCACAAAGAATTGTACTTACAGTACAAACATTTTTATATACAGGGATCCATCCGGCCCATCGCAGCACACCAGCCACTGCCAGAATTGAAACCCTTCATAGAAGGAAACACCAGTAAAACTGCAACACCAGATCCTCAACCTTCTTGCAGCACAGTATCGAAGTCGCCTCCAACACTAAGGTTACTTAATCAAGAACCAGCCAGAAAACGTAGTCGACTATCTACTGAAAATTCAAGGAAATTTGTTTCCTTGGCAAAAATGCATCAGGAGGCCATGGAGGAAAGGAAAAAATTGAGAAATATTGTCAAACGACAGGCTGAAGCCCAAAAAGCAATGGCTGGAACACTTAACCCTTCAGTACTCGCGCGGGGTATTTATATACCCCACGCGTCATTCATAGTTGAGTACTATGGAGGGGGAAATGCGAAATAGCTCGCCGCCTCGCGTATTCCTTAGATTCAGTGTGTAGTTATATCTGCTAGCACCGAGTGTCATTTGAGTTCGAGAAGGTTGAAGAATACGCAATTGAAGTTGATTGGGGTCTTTACGTACCCCACGCGAGTACTGACGTAAAAGTTTTGGTAGGTTATATTTTAAAGTATTTGACGTATTTCTGATAAATATTTTCAACTTTTCCAAGGCAAAGCCATGGACAACGTACGTAGCAATGATCCCAAGCAGTGGCTAAAATGGTTTGAAGAAATAGAGTCCGACGAGGAGGTCTACGGGGAAGAAGACTCGGAAGAAGATGATGGCGACCAGGAAGAGGTACAAAGAAGCGGTTCAGATACTGAGCAGGACCCAAATTCTAATAATGAAGGTAGTGAAGGTGAATTACAAGCAGAAAATATATTGAGCGGAACTGACATATATGTAGGGAAAGACAAGACATTTATATGGCAGAAAACAAAACCATCTTCATCTAGGACAAAAGCACATAACCTCGTCATGAAAATTCCAGGGCCTACTGGAGACGCAAAAAAGGCCAAATCGCATTTAGACTGTTTCCACGTTTTCATAGATGATTCCATGTTTACCAGAATAGTAGAATGTACCAATATATATATAGAAAAACTCCGGGGAAACTTTACCCGTAAAAGAGATGCGCGACCAACTGATGTTTGCGAAATGAAAGCATTTGTAGGCGTTCTATATCTTGCTGGTTGTTTGAAATCTGGCCGACAGAATGTCTTATCTTTATGGAGCACAGATGGTTCAGGCATTGAACACATATACATTACGATGAGCTACAATCGTTTTAGGTTTTTATGTCGTTGTATACGCTTTGATGATATTTCTACTAGGGAGGCAAGACGGAGTTTGGATAAGCTGGCACCAATAAGGGACATCTTTGAACGTTTTATCTTCAAGTGCAGAACTTCAGTAATTCCAAGTTCTAATTTGACAATCGACGAACAGCTGGTTGCTTTCCGTGGTAGGTGCCCATTCAAACAATATATACCTAATAAACCCAATAAATATGGTCTGAAGATATACGCATTGGCTGATGTAAAAACAATGTATACCTATAATTTAGAGATTTATGCTGGAGCACAACCTGAAGGGCCATTCTTAGTCAGTAATAAGCCGTCGGATGTCGTAAAGCGGCTTGTGGAACCGTTGAAAGGTACTGGACGAAATATCACCATGGACAATTGGTTTTCAAGTATCCCTCTTGCTAAAGAATTGCTCAAGGATAAGCTTACCATGATTGGCACACTAAAAAAGAACAAGAGGGAAGTCCCTTTAGAATTTACAAACACACGTTCACGTACTGAAAATAGTAGCATTTTTGCCTTCACAGATTACTGTACATTAGTCTCTTATGTTCCAAAAAAATATAGGAACGTTTTATTATTATCCACAATGCACCATGATTGCGAAGTAGATAAAGATTCCCTGAAACCAGAAATTGTGCTTGAATATAATCGTACAAAATCGGGTGTGGATACTGTAGATAAATTGTGTGCACACTATGATGTGGCAAGAAATAGTAGGCGTTGGCCACTTACAGCTTTCTTCGATATCCTGAATATTGCAGGTATCAATGCGCTTTGCCTGCATGCAATGAATAATAAATTTGAGAAAATTAAAAGAGAATTCTTTATAAAAAATATTTCGGCGGAGCTTGTGCGGCCACAAATACTGAAGAGGATTTATTCTCAAAATGTACCAAAAGATATTAAACAGCGGGGATGTATTCTCCTAAAGATTAATGACTTATCAGCTTCTACTTCCAATATTGATGCCGAAGATCAACAACCAAAAAAGAAACAAAGACTGGAAAAGGAAGATGCAATTTATGCCCCCGAAATTTGGACAAAAAGACAACAATAACTTGCCTAAGATGCAGTAAATTTCTATGTAAAATGCATCAAATTATTACATGCAGAGGTTGTTTTGAGAAAGAAGGTTCTCCAGAAGTTGAAAGCAACTGAAACTTAGTAGCTTTAGTTATGTAAATATCTATTTTTTATAATAAATTTTGTGTTACTCAATGAATTTATTTCAACAATAAATATTGTGTTATTTGAAATCATTCAGTTAATACCCTGTCGACTATGAAAATAATCAAAAACATTTTGAAAGTATTCTATTTGTTGCTTATTTCAATTGGGGTATATAAATACCCCAAGCGAGTACTCATGGTGAAATTTGTGGCGCGAGTACTGAAAGGTTAAAGAACTTTTGGCCTATATAAGAACAAAAGATGAAAAATGAATAAACATTGTAAACAATGCGATTTTAGTTTTAGAAGTATAAATAATATTTATTTATAGAATTTATTTTTGTTTGCTCTTAGACTGTTTGACTGAATAATGATTCAAGTTTTTTCGTTGTAATGTTTGTTTGTGGAAAACCTTTGTTTTTGTTTCATGGTGTTTTTCACAATAAAATATTTTTTTTAATTTTAGTTTCATTTTATTTGAAATATCTATCTAACATTTTGAAAATACAATTGTATTATGTTGACTCTCCTTGCCTGCCCTTGTTCAAGAACATTGCTTACAATAGCATCCGACTCTGGAACATCATTATCATCTTGCTCCTCTTCTTGATCTTCCATATCCAAATTAGCCCTAACACACATGTTGTGTAGGACACTAGTGGCATCGATAATTTGACCAGCTCTGAAGGGGGCATAATGTAAGACCCTGTCTTTCAATAGACAAGGAAACCTATTTTTCAAAACTCCTGAAACAAAATTTTCTCATTTAGTACAAAAATATATTAAAAATAAACATTTTTTTATAAAATACCTATACATCTTTCCACACAATTCCTGGTTCTTATCAAAGCTGCCGTATATCTACCTTCAGGAGTATCAGTAGGCATACCTTGAATAGGAGTCATAAGCCATGGCTCTTGTGGATAACCACTATCTCCCATTAACCACGAATTATGATCACCATTATTGTACATTTCTTCTAAATGAGTCCTTACATTGGAATTTCTCCAAATAAAAGCGTCATGAGATGCTACACCATAATTTGCTTTTATATTTAGAATCAATAGATTTGCATCACATATTAATTGTACATTTTTTGAATGATATTGCTTTCTATTGAAATATAGATGCTCATCATCTTGAGGTGTAACAATGGCAATATGAGTGCCATCATGCAGCCTATTACTCCTGGAAATCCAAATTGCGCCATAAACTGTTCTTTTTTCTGTTGCGTTTCAGCTTCACTTAGGCTGCTGCCCCATTAGTGCGTTGCGTTGCGCTGCGTCGTCGCAGCGTCAACGCTTGCGTCGTTTTCCATGTATTTTAGATGGTATGCCACATTAGAGCGCTGCGTCGTCGCTCGCGACGTTTCAACGGATTGCGCTGCGATGTCGGAGCTTCAGTGCGACGACGGACAGTTGTGACGGACAGTGTTGCACTGCCAGAGGAGTGAAGGAGACATACGAACACGATATTTTCGTATCTCAGCATGAGTGTGGAGGAGATTGATATAGATTTTCTCATCTCCTTGGTGCAAGAAAGGCCGATCATATGGGATAAAGGCCATGAACATTACAATGATAAATTTCGGAAAGCAAATGAATGGGTTTCAGTGTGTAAACATTTATATGCAGATTACGAAGAATTTGATGATACAAAAAAGAACAAAATTGGTGAGCTAAGTATATGTTATAGTTATAAGTTAATACGTATTAAATAGTGATTTATATCTTCTTCAACTGCCATGGTAAAGTCCCCACGGAACTCATAAAATAATTAGCAAACTGATCTCTGATAAAATTTTCAGCTAAAGATTCTGCATCGATATGGGGTTGCAATTGTGGGAAGTTATTTATTGTCATCTTTTCTTGTTGCCGTAAACCATCGTGTTCTGTGACAAAATTGTGTAAAACGCAGCATGCTTTCACAATATCAGTAGTTAAATCATATGCTGTGTCAAGTGGTCTATGTAAAATACGCCATTTATTTGCCATGATCCCAAAAGCACATTCTACATATCTACGAGCTCTGCTAAGGCGATAATTATAAACTCTTTGTTTCACATTGAGTTTTTGGCCGCCGTATGGACGCATAACATGATTACTCAAACTAAAAGCTTCATCACCGACGAGTACATATGGGATTGGTGGCTCGTTACCATGATCATTTACAAGTGGTTGAGGATCAGGCAATGGTAGTTCATTTCTCGTTAAAATCTGATATAGTTTCGAATTTCTAAAAATAGTCGAATCACTTTCCTTTCCATATGCACCCACGTCGACAAAAACAAATTTATAGTTGGAATCTACAACCGCCAGTAAAACAATTGAAAAAAAATGTTTATAATTATAAAACAGGGACCCACTCTTGACAGGTTTCATTAAACGTATATGCTTCCCATCAATTGCCCCAAAGCAATGAGGAAAGTTAGCTTTACGGTCAAAATCTGATGCAATATTTTGTAGTTTCTCTATGGTGATGTCTTCTATGTACTGTGGCCTGAGATATTTCCATATAGCTTGACAAACTGACGATATAGCTCTAGAGATTGTTGACCTTCCACGTTTAAATTTGAAACGCAAATCCTTCATCGAATTTCCGGTGCCCAAGTACCTGAAATAGAAACAAAAAAATTATCTTGCTTAGACATTATTTTCTTTCCTTGCAGGCAACCAGGTGGTAAAAAAATGGAGAAGTGTAAAAGACAACTTCACTCGATATGTAAAAAAATTAAAAGAAAATAATTCATCTGGATCAGCGGCGAAAAAAATAAAA